GGACTCAAGCAATCTGCCTGCCTCGGCCTCCCATGCTGGGATTACAGGCATGAGCCATTGTACCCGGTCCTGTAAGTAAAGTTTTATTGCAACACAGCCGTGATCACTCACTTGTTCACATATTGTCTATGGCTGTTTACAATAGTAGAGTTGGGTAGTCACAAAGATGGTATAGCCTACAAAGCCTAAAATATTTACTATTTGGCCCTTTAAGATAAAAGTTTGCCAACTCCTGATCTAATGCATATGGAAATTTAGCATTTGCAAAGATCACCACATATATACTCTCAGTTGAGTTGCATAAGGGTCTGCTGAGACACGCTAGCCAGTGACTATTAGTCCCATTTTTGAGGTGAAAAAACTGAGGCTCAAGGTAGCTGTGACTTACATCAGGCCATAGAGTGCTGGAAAGGGAACCTGTCCCTGATTCCAAAGCCAGTGCTCTTTCTACTGCTCTGTGCTTCCTTTTGCATATTTCCCAAGGAGAAAGTCAGTTGGCAAAGATCTATCCACACCATCTGGTCTAGTCTCCCCTGGGATTGGCTGCACTGTGGGAAAAGGCTGGCTATGGGCTCAGCAACATCTGGGCAGCTCAGAACCATGAAAAATGACCAAGCTGTGGCCAGCTGAGAACTTCTGTGTTTAACAGTTGCCACTCTTACTAAATGGCAGTCTTCACAAGAAGAAAGACCATGTCTGTTTACCGCTGTGCCCTCGAGTCCAGCATGCTGCAGGTGCTCACAAAATGTTTACTGAATATACTGAGTTAACTGCAGTCCTCACAATTATTAAATCCTCATCCTCTCTGGCTGGCACCTTGTTGAAAGACTCACCTTTTGGCTGGGTGTGGTGGCTCACGCCTGTAATCTCAGCACTTTGGAAGGCTGAGGTGAGCAGATCACCTGAGGTCAGGAGTACGAGACCAGCCTGGCCAACATGATGAAACCCTGTCTCTACTAAAAACACAAAAATTACTCGGTGTGGTGGTGGGTGCCTGTAATCCCAGCTACTCAGGAGGGTGAGGCAGAGGTTGCAGTGAGCCAAGATTGTGCCAACCTGGGCAAGAGAGTGAGACTCTGTCTCAAAAGAAAAAAAAAAAAGAATCACCTTTTCTCCAGGGAGGAGTCCCTGTTCCTGTTCTGGGCACCCACCCCTCGCCCCATGTATAATTACCCATACACTGGCACACCTATAATTACCCACATACCTGGCAGATGCCCTTTATTCTTCTCTGCTACAAACTGAAAGTATTGCCAAGTCCTGCTACACTAGCTCTTGACTCCACACTCTCTTCTCCAGCCCTATGGCACTGTCTTGTTGAGATCCTTCATTATCTGAAGCCTGAGTTGTTTGCCCACCTCCTCACTGGCTTTCTGCCTCCACCCTCTGCCTTTCCAGACCAATGGTTTCCAGACCATTCTCTGTATTGCGCATATCCTAGCAAATCATTCCTCTTAAATCTCAGTTGGTACCCCTCGCACTGTGGATGCAGGCCCACCATGACCCAGCCCCAGCCTACCTTTCCAGCTCCAGCTCCCTTCTCTCCCACTCCCACCCAGAAGCCAGCCATCCTGAGCTACCTGTAGTTCTCTGCCAGTGCTGTGCCTTCTCTCATCACTTCCGTTCACACATGCTCTGCTCCCTGCCTGGGAAGCCCCACTGGCTGCACTCCAGCAGGTCTTCCAGACCGAGTTCAAGCATCACTTCTCTGGGTAGCTTTTCTTAAGGCTTTCCAAGATAGAAGACTCTTGTCTTTGTGTCAATCCTGTGATTATAGCACTTGTACTACTGTATTAAGTGTGGTTTTTCCATTCTTGGGCCTCCCACTGCCAGCCAAGAGCACTCTGAGGGCAGGAACTATCTGGCCATCTTGACAGGACTTTCACTCAGCACAAGGGCTACCCCAAAGCACTGGCATCAGGATCCAGTGAATCCTTGCAGCTCTCCATTTGCTCGAACCGCTGAGCTCTTTCACCACTAGGTGGGTGCAGGAGATGGTGGAGCCATTCTCGGCAGCCTCCCTGAGCTCAGAAACCAAAGAGCTTGTAGTGACTCCTGTTACTGTTTTTCCCTGCCTAGTATCTTTTTCTTTCTACAAGGGCACTTTCCTAATCTCTGGGGCTCACAACCACAAGGCCCCAGGCCACCCAAGGGACTGCTTCAGAGATGCGCAAGGCCCATTCAGGGCCCTTCTGGGGGATGGATATGGCTGTGGGGGAAATGACTGTGGAGGATGTGCTCATTTGCTTGTTTTTAGGGTGCTATGAACCTCGGGCTGCTGGTGGCCATCTATGAGAGTGGATCTGAATTCTAACTCCATCATTTCTGGCTGGGTGACCTTGGACAAACTGCATGTTTTTGTTTTAACAAAAGTTTACAGTTTTCCTTTGCATTTCCTGCTGTATAACCTGCAAAATGGGAATGATGGAGTATCCACCTCATGTTGTGGGAACCACTGAGTTAACATACATGAAGTGCTTAGAGCAGTGCCTGGCACAAAGAGAGTGGCCAGTAAGTACTTGTTGCTTTGATTACATCGATACATGGGGAGATCTTATCTGAGGACAAGTGAGAGACACTTTTTGGATCCAGCTGAACCCGAAGCTTTCAATCTGTTACACTTAACAGTTCCACAAATCAATTAACTTCATCTCTTTTTTTTGAGATGGAGTCTCACTCTGTTGCCCAGGTTGGAGTACAGTGGCATGATCACTGCAACCTCCTCCTGGGTTCAAGTGATTCTCCTGCCTCAGCCTCCCGAGTAGCTGGGACTACAGGTGTGTGCCACCATGCCTGGTGAATTTTTGCATTTTTAGCACAGACAGGGAGGGTTTCACCATTGGCCAGCCTGGTCTCAAAGTCCTGACCGCAGGTGATCTGCCTGCCTTGGCCTCCCTAAGTGCTGGGATTACAGGCATGAGCCACTGTGCCCAACCTTAACTTCTTCTTCTTTTTTTTTTTTTGAAATGGAGTCTCGCTCAGTTGCCCAGGCTGGAGGGCAGTGGCATGATCTCGGTTCACTGCAACTTCCACCTCCTGACTTCAAGCAATTTTCCTACCTCAGCCTCCTGAGTAGCTGGGACTATAGGTGCATGCCGCCACACCTGGATAATTTTTGTATTTTTAGTAGAGACGGGGTTTCAACATGTTGGCCAGGCTGGTCTCAAACTCCTGACCTCAGGTGATCCACCCGCCTCGGCCTCTCAAAGTGCTGGGATTATAGGCATGAGACACCATGCCCAGCCAACTTCTTTTTTTAAAGCAAGTTTGAGCTGGGACTATGTAAGTTACAACCCAGAAGATCCTAACACTGGCGTGTAGTGGGAACCCAGGAGAAAGAATCGAGTGGGCACTCTCATCTTGCTGTTTGAGTTTGGCCAGGGCTTTACTTCTCAAGCTTCAGTTTATGTCTGATGGGTGGATAATACCTGCCCTGCTTCCTTCTTGTAGCTGCTGTGAGGATCTATGTGTATAACAGATGTGCCTCAAACACTGTTAAATGCTAAAAAACAAAAGTCACCTATGACTCCTTATAATATATCAAAGAAAATCCTACTCATTAGCTTGGGTTGGGCAGAGCCCTAGCCCATGTGGACCCAAGCTACCTTTAAAAAAAAAAAAGAGACAGGGTCTCACTCTGTTGCCCAGGCTGGAGTACAATGGTACGATCATAGCTCAGTGTAACCTGGAACTCCTCGGCTCAAGTGATGGAACCTACCTTTTTGGCCTTCTTTCTCACTTGTGCAATCCTCTTGCATATGCAAACCCTCTGCTGAGGCTACAATGGATTTTCCACCATTTCCCAATCTCACTTTTGTGTCTTTGCTCATTTTACACCCTCCACATGAAATGACTTTTGGCTCATCTCTATGTATAAACAAAATTCAGGCTGGGCAGTGGCTCACGCCTGTAATCCCAGCACTTTGGGAGGCTGAGGTGGGTGGGTCACCTGAGGTCAGGAGTTTGAGACCAGCCTGGCCAACCAGATGATACCCCTTCTCTACTAAAAATACAAAAATTAGTCAGGTGTGGTGGTGTACGTCTGTAATCCCAGCTACTTGGGAGGTAGAGGCAGGAGAATTGCTTGAACCCAGGAAGCAGAGGTTGCACTGAGCTGAGATATGGCCTGGGCGACAGAGGGAGACTTTGTCTCGAAAAAAAAAAAAAAAAAAACAAGGCTGGGTGCAGTGGCTCACGCCTGTAATCCCAGCACTTTGGGAGGCTGAGATGGGCGGATCAGCTGAGGTCAGGAGGTCGAGATCAGCCTGGCCAACATGGGGAAACCCTGTCTCTGTTAAATATATAAAAATCAGCTGGGCGTCGTGGCTCATGTCTGTAATTCCAGCTACTCAGAAGGCTGAGGCATGAGAATCACTGGAACCCAGGAGGTGGAGGATGCAGTGAGCCGAGATCACACCACTGCACTCTAGCCGGGGTGACAATGAAACTCAGTCTCAAACAAAACAAAAGAAAAACAAAAATACCCCACAAAACAAAACAAAATTCATCCTTCAAAGGTCCAGTCCAATGAAGCCTTCTCCATGAGGACTTTTCTGATCCTTCCGCAAGACTGCTTCCCTCACACACACACACATGCACACAGAGAGGAGCCAGATGTGCCTTCTGTTTCCTGTGAACTTCAGCACTCCCTTTATTATTGGGTCCAGGTTTAAATATTTCTTTGGTTAGATATGAGTCTCCTAGGCGGCAGGGACCAGATATCTAACTGCATTCTCTGTTGCACCATGCAGCAGGGATTTAGGGATTCTGAGAATTAGCTATAATCAACGTGGGCCAGAGGAGATAACACATGTGCATCATCTCCAGAGCAAACAAACAGAATTCTTTTCTCCTTTAGCTGCCAGCCCTACTGGAGGCAGGTATACGGACATAATAATAAACCCTGCATTACCCAGGTACGCTGAGCCAAGTGGATGTCTACAGTTGGTGAAATAGCATTTGGGAGAGCAAAAAGGCAGCTGACACCTGGAAAAACTCACCCAAACCAGCATTTGCAGGAATCACCCAGTCTCCTGGCTTCAGCCTCGTCACACTGCTGCCCACCGCTACCACCTGGGCAACACCTTCGTTCCCTCCAACAGCAGGCAGTTCGGGAAGGAGGCCGTAGTTTCCTGAGGGAGAAGAGCATGAAAAGGTCAACCAGTGATGTTTGGGCAGTGAAAGAGCATGGACTTGAGTCCAGGCCATCCTATGCCTGATCTGGGATCTGCTTTGGACTGTCTGCATAACCAACCTCTGAGCCTTAGCTTGCTCGTCTGTACAGGGGGACAATATTCTTTAGTTTTCATGGTTATTATGAAGATCAGATAACACACAAAATGAGACCAGCATGTTGCAGGCACTTAACAATGCTTGCTTTACTCCCCACTGCAATCTTCTCAAAAAAGCCTCACATTCCAGAAAAGGGAGGCCAGACAGGGCTGACACAGCCTGCAGACGGCTCATCTGGAGGACAGCTGCGGCTAATCACAGGCATTTCACACCCACACCTGAGGAGGAATGAAAACGAGGTGGCAGCTGAGCTAAAAAGCCAATTAACATAAGCCACAGAAACCAAGGTTACCTTGGATCATATTTATGTCAGATGGATTGATAGGGGCCGCCAGCATCTTCACGAGGACGTCTGATCCTCCCACAGCAGCTAGCTCCAGGTTCTTCAGTCTAAGCACAAAGCCAAAGGGAGATGTTCATGTCACCCAGGCTAGAGTGGGCATTTCGCTCCAATCGTCTCCCCAAAGTAGGTCAGACAAGATTTCTGAGCTGCCATGTGTGCCCAGGAATAACGGTTCTGTTATAAAAGAGAGGTGCCATAAGAAATCAACACAGGAGGCTGGGTATGGTGGCTCATGCCTGTAATCCCAGCACTTTGACAGGCTGAGACAGTCGGATCTGAGGTCAGGTGTTCGAGACCAACCTGGACAACATGGCGAAACCCCGTCTCTACTAAAATACAAAAATTAGCCAGACACGGTGGTGGGCACTGGTAATCCCAGCTACTTGGGAGGCTGAGGCAGGATAATCACTTGAATGTGGGAGGCAGAGGTTGTAGTGAGGTGAGTTTGCATCACTGCACTCCAGTGTGGGGGACAAAACAAGACTTCATCTCAAAAAAAAAAAAAAAATCAACACTGGATACAGGTTGACTCTCATTAATTCAAAGTGGAAATCCACAGTGGTCTTTCAACCCCATGGCCCACTCTGGGACAGGAAACTTCTGCTGGCCTACACACACCCTGTGTTTCCCCAAACTTGCTTGGTTATAAGAATTACCTGGTGTGTTTATGAATATAAATTATCAGGTCCATCTCTGATCTACTGAGTCAGAATCTCCAGATGAGGACACCCCAAGTACTTCTTACCAACAGGAGTATCTGGGAAATCCCAGGCTAGCTGACATGTCTGCCACCTGTTGATTTTATTCTTGGTCCTAACATATATAAGGGAGAGGTGATATTTCTGTTAGTTGCAGAGTGTGGGGGTAATGGAGAGATGGCCTATGTAGTTCACAAAGAACTCCGTGGGTGGGTGGCTGTGATTCACTCTGAGTGATGCCCCTTCTGGAGGAGGATTCTCGTCTTGCAGAAACAATGCTGGGTGGAGGGTTGAGGGTCCTGGGTGTAAAGCTTCACCGCAAGATGCCTGGGTCACCATGGGCAAGTTTCTTTTCTGCTCTAGGCCTCTGGTTCTCCATTTGTAAGCCAAGTTGTGGTGGTGGTTTGGACTTGATCCCCTCTGGGAGCCTCTTTCCTGTTAAGTATGTGGTAGGTAAGTCCCTCTGCTCATGGTAGGCCCTGGACACCAAGCATATTTATCCCACTGAAACTTTGCTTAATAAGTAAAACCTGCAAGAAGGCTTTTGTGAGAGGCCAAGTGACAATGTCCTTCTGTTACTTTTGTTATTTCCAAAAAACTTTTAAAAAAAGATCTGCCAACCAGGTAGTGCTGGTCAGTGTACTAGACCCATGGGGCCTGTGACTTATTATCACCAGAGACTGCTTGCTCTCTTTCTCTACAGCCCTAAGACTGCATGTCCCTCTGGCCAAATGCATTTATTAATAATTCATTTTTACTTCCCCAAGACACATATAACTGCCAACAAGAGGTTCTTAGCATCAGGCAACAGTATCATCCAACTAAGCTGATGTAATGCCACCTACTTCCTGCAGAAATCCAATCTTTTAATTATACTGGATGCTTCGTCTTGCAGTGTAAGTGTGATTTTCAATAAATGTTTTGTAATAGCCAGGAGTGGTGGCTTACGCCTGTAATCTCAGCATTTTGGGAGGCTGAGGCAGGTGGATCATGAGGTTAGGAGGTCGAGACTAGCCTGGCCAACATAGTGAAACCCCATCTCTACTAAAAATACAAAACTTAGGTAGGTGTGGTATATGCCTGTAGTCCCAGCTACTCAGGAGGCTGAGGCAGAAGAATTGCTTGAACTCGGGAGGTGGAGGTTGCAAGTGAGCTGAGATTGTGCCACTGCACTCTAGCCTGGGTGACAGAGTGAGAGTCCACTAAAAAAAAAAAAAAAAGGAAATGTTTTGTACTAATAATGGAGACAGGTATTTATTATACACCAGGTCCTGCGCTAAGACCTTTAAATACGTGATCTAAGATGCAACACTTCTATGAGGAAAATATTAATATTCCCACGCTATCAAGTAGAAAACAGAGGCTCCTAGGGATTATGAAATTTACACGGGGTAAGATAACTGCTAACTGGCAGGGCTTATCATTTCAAAGTTGGTGCTCTCGTTAACTTTGCTCTACATCAGCATCCTAAAATTAGTTTGGAAATTCCCTCAATCACCTATAAGAACCCCTGAGGATCTGGGGACCCAAACTGGGAATCCCTATACTGGACCATGACCAAAATAAAGGAGGACATGTCTTACCATGTCTGAGAAACAGCTGCAAAAAACCAATAGATAAACTCTACAGAAAATGGTTAACTAGGAAGGAGTTGATGACCAGGGGCAGAAAGAATATAGAAACAGCTTTTAAAAATAAGTATTAAGGAATGTATGTATTTACACATAGCTGGAGGAGGGAGAGTCCTTATAATAGTAATAACTACCGCTTATTCAGTGCTTACTAGTCAGCCACATTGCTAAGTGCTTTACCTGCCAGCTTTCCGATTACAATAGCTCTCATACTATTGTTCTGCTTTTACAGCTGATGAACAAAAGCTGTAAGAGGTAAATAACTTGCTCACAACCACTAAAAGTAGCAAGTGGCTGACATGATTTGAACCTGGCAGTATGACCTACAGAAGCCCTTGGAAAGGGGCTGACTCCACACCAAGCAGAGGGCAGTGAAATGAACACAGGCCGGGACCAGTTGCGGTTGCCTTATGGGGAGCTGGAGGGAGTGCTAACAGGTGGGCACCACAGCCTTCCTACCAGACTAAGCAAGGAGGCATCAGCTCAGACAGTGATGTTTCACTCTCGACCTGTGTATTAAGTCTGCATTCAAAAGAAAAATCCTGGGGATCGCGACATCAGGAGTTTGAGACCAGCCTGGCCAACATGGGGAAACCTCATGTCTACGAGAAATACAAAAACTAGCTGGGTGTGCACCTGTAATCCTAGCTACTTGGGAGGCTGAGGCAGGAGATTCTGGAAGGCGGAGGTTGCAGTGAACCGAGATTGTGCCATTGCACTCCAGCCTGGGTGACAAGAGCAAGACTCCGTCTAAAAAGATAAAAAAAAAAAAAGAAAAATCCTGTCCAGAGCAAGTGAATTTTAAACTAGCTGTCCTTTATATTAACCACAGTGCTTCTCTCCTGCATTTTCACAGATAATCAGAGTTTTTCTGTAAGCCAACAAAGTTCATGTGCTCAAGCTGTTTAAAGACATTTTTTTCTGCACATTTTCCATACAGTTTTCTTACAGCCCAGAATGTCTTTTCCACAGCTTCGCTATGAAGAGAGGAATTCAACTCATCCTTCAAGGCCCAGTTCAAATTCTACTTCCCTTAAGATATCTTTCGACCCTCATCCAGCCCAGAAAAAAAAAAAAAAATCACTTGCTCGGTGCTCCCGTTGTACAGAATTATATATCATGTTATTTATGACTATCTCACGGTTTACTAATTTTTAGTTTGTGAAGCCTTTTCATACATTTTTGTCAATTGATCAGGACAAGACAGAGATTCACAATCCCTTTTCAAAACTCTTGGGAGTCACGTATTATCTACACTCCTAGTGGGGGCTGTTGCAGCACCCTGGGATCAGACACACGAATGTGTCTGCAGCAAAATGTAGGAATACTCATGCTAAGTGAGATGAATAAAGACCACACGAAAACCTCACGTTAGATCAGGTTTCCTTCACATGAGTTACAGAAAAAAACTGGCTGGGTGCAGTGGCTCATGCCTGTAATCCCAGCACTTTGGGAGACCGAGTTGGGTGGATCACATGGTCAAGATTGAGACCATCCTGGCCAACACAGTGAAACCCCATCTCTACTAAAAATACAAAACTTAGCTGGGTGTGGTGGTGCCTGCCTGTAATTCCAGCTACTCGGGAGGCTGAGGCAGAAGAATAGCTTGAATCTGGGAGGTAGAGGTTGCAGTGAGCCGAGATCGTGCCACTGTACTCCAGCCTGGTGACAGAGAAAGACTCCGTCTCAAAAAACAAAACAAAACAAAACAAAACAAAACAAAACACCGTCAGCTTCCAAAGCTTTCAGGATTTTGGAACTGCAGATACAAATTTAGATTTGGATTCAGGTTTTTCAGACACTGAGTTCGGAGCTGTTTTTACGAATGACTTAGTTTTGTAGTCAGAATGTGTGTGTGTATGTGCTGTCTCCTTGTTAAGACGGTGAGCTCCTAGAGGGCGGAGAACTATTAGTCTTAACTCACTGTTGAGCACATGTCTGGGATCAAACTTTTTTCTCTAGTGAGAAAATATGGCATAAGTGCCAGTTATGGCTGGGCATGGTGGCTCACACCTGTAATCCCAGCACTTTGGGAGGCTGAAGCATGTGGATCACCTGAGGTCAGGAGTTAAAAACCAGCTTGGCCAACATGGTGAAACCCAGTCTCTGTTAAAAAAAATACAAAAATCAGCTGGGTGTGGTGGTGTGCACCTGCAGTCCCAGCTACTTGGGAGGCTGAGGCAGGAGAATTGTTTGAACCTGAAAGGCAGAGGTTGCAGTAAGCTGAGATCATGCCACTGTACTCCAGCCTCGGCGGGGAAAAAAAAGTGCCAGTCATCTAGGAAATCAGGGGCAGGGCCCAAGCCAAAGGGACTTAGCTATTTGTACTTGCTCTTCCTGGTTCTAGGCTGTTTAGGAAAATACCCATGAAAGATGGGCTCAAATAAAAATGGAGATTATCCTTAAGAGAATTCAGTCTAGGCATACACATCAAATGTGCACCGGGACTGCACTTCTTAAAAATCTAGATGACCGTGGTCAAGATGAGAATACAGGTAGATCTCAGTTCGTAAATGATGGGTAGAACATGAATCTGGAGTGAAGCAGGCAGCCCTGGGTTTGAATCATACCTTAGTTATTTATCAGCTAGATAAACCTCAGAATATTCCTCTGTAAAATGGGATAACATAAGAACCCAGTTCACAGGACTCAATGAGTTAATGTATGTGAAGCATTTATGGTAGTACCTATACAGTAGATGCTGAGAAAATGACAGCGGTTATCAGTTGTAGAGCTATCCAAGGAAACCTCTGAAACAGTTCCCTGGTTCTATCTCTGAGAAGAGTCACTGAGTCACTGAAAGGAAGAATTTTCCTTCTTGGAAAATTCAAGTAAACGCAATTCA